GAGAGAGAGAGAGAGGGAGGGAGGGAGAGAGAGAGAGAGAGAGAGAGAGAGCGAGAGAGCCGTGCTCCAGTCACAACCGATCATCACACAGGGTAATAATTCTTTAACCCGAACATTTTCCAGACTGAAAAATATCTGATTCTGCCAATTATATGGAGTTTGAAGGAAGGCGAGTTCTAATTATAATTTTTGCATATTCAAATTCCACATGCAACAGAGCCAATAAAGTTTATGCGCAGTTTCAACTCCTCCCTTTTTACCTTATATGGCTCAAACAAAGTTCGTATGTGTAATTTCTAATATAAGCTTATTAGAAGACTTGTAATGGTGAGTATGAAGTGTATGGATGTGCTGTAGCGTTTTTAAATATACAAATAATTTTTACATTTTCTGAAGGAAATATAAGTACTTATTTTCAAAACGTGATCACTTGGTGCTAGGTGGTTGTTGCCAGCTCATAGTAAAATTGGGTTTATGGTATTTATCCCAAATTTAGCTTGATCCACTTTATTCTTCAATGCAGAAGTAAGCCTATATGGGGGAGACTTCCGGTTGATTATTGGCTATAAGGAAATAACGAGAAGAATTACAACATGCAGTAAATGGTAAAACTGTTTGCACTACAAACCAGTGTGTTAATAATTAAGACGATACATTAAAATAATATGATAAGACACACCAACAAGCTGTTTTGTACAGCTAAAAATAGCCCATAAAATGTACAAATGGCCACACCCATTTTTAGGGGGGGAGCACAAGGTTTATGATGCAACATTTCATAATAAACAAACAGATTGAACACTATTATTCTGTGAAATCCCTTTACGGATAGGATAATTTAAGAAGAAACAACAAAGACATTTATAATTTGTTGAGACCACCAACTTGGGACTGTAAACACAAAATTCCACTTTCATATGGATAATTTGGTCTTATTTTTGCGACCATTTGGTTTTTGGTATTGTGGCATTGTGTTTATGGCAGTTAATCGCATTTTCGTTCCAAATGTTCATTACTGTAATGTGTTCAGATTTTTACTTTAGCAACTTTAGCGGCAAACTTTTCCATTACTTTCAATGATTCGCATGATTCACAGTATGAAGAATAATGTCAAAATGCAGGAAATCTTAAAAATAGCTAAATGGACGTTCTTATTTCTCATTTTTGACCTTTTCTTGACAGGTTTTGTGAAATCCACCACTTTATCCATCTTTCAAGAGTGCCAGCAACATAGCACCTCCGATATGGACCATAGCAGCTTCAGCCATTAAAATGAGTGGCGCGACCCACACGGAGACCTGAGAAAGTTCTGATTCCTGACATGACCTGGAGGTAGATGTGCCTTTAACAAGCTTAAAGTCACTTTTAAGAAGAAGGTGCGAGACAAAGATGAGGCGTATGGCTCACAGGTGTCTCCCTTCACACATGACATCTGTACTGAGGCGGTTTGACGGTGGCACCTCATTACATAATTCACAGAGTTCCTGTACTCATATCTCACCTACAGCTGGTTGATTTTGCCATAATTATGCAGCAGACAGATAAAACAAGAGCTTTGAGGTGCGTGCAGAATTGAGGTACACAGAATACACCGTTCTAGGTGTTAATCGCACAGAAACAGATGGCGTCTTTCATCAGGCATCACTGGGGAAAATACCTTGTACCTAGTACAAAGTAGTCATACTACCTGACAGATATCACTGAAATAAGACATTTTTTAAGAAATATCTCTCCAGCCCAATCCAAAACTCTTTATGCCTGTCAATCATTTTGTACGACTGAGATTGTTTTTGGAGGTCAACGTTTCGCAAAGAATATGCATACTTCCTTTCAACATAGTATGCAAAAAGAAAGTCAGACGAGTAGTATGTGGTATGTAAGATTTTTAAGTTTTAATGAAACAACAATGCTGACATTTGGGGAGTGTGCAACCACGGCGGAATAAAATATTTTATCTTTTGTTGTTAGTACATCAGAGGACAACTGACAATATATTGACAACTGACAATATATCTATACTACAAACATACATAACTGAAGAAATGTGCAGCAGAGATGTAAGTTCATCCTTACAGTATGTACATACATGATTATGGCCATAGTGTGTGCGTAAAACTTGCCTACAGTATCTTTGACAGGTGCTTAAATGCATGAGCACACATTTATATTCAAACTAAATATCAGTATAAATGTATAATATCTTATTTTAATGTATCTCATAAACATTAACATGCTTTCAGGTGGTACTCCTGGTGGACAGCATAAATAATTTTTTTTATTTTTTTATTTCTCTTTCAACAAATACTAAGTGTTAAAGGGGTCATATGATGTTGCTAAAAAGATCATTATTTTGTGTATTTGGTGTAATGCAATGTGTTTATGCGACTTAAGGTTAAAAAAACACATTATTTTCCACATACTGTACATAATTGTTTCTCCTCTATGCCCCGCCTTTCTGAAACGTGTCGATTTTTACAAAGCTCATCGGTCTGAAAAGTGAGGTGTGCTCTGATTGGCCAGCTATCCAGTGCCTTGTGATTGGCCGAATACCTCAAGCGTGTGACGGAAATGTTACGCCCCTCACCATATTGTGATGCTCTTGTCAGCCCGGAGCGACGAGACAAAAACATTAAAACCCATTATAAACGAGGCATTTGTTGCATCCAGTGGGGACATAATTATGGATTATAATGACTTATACTGTCTTTTTACGCGTTGCATCACGGCGCGTAAACATAAAACCATATCTGCATTTGTGATCGGAGGAATGATAAACAAGTGCTACTCTACACTGCTCAAAACTCGCGTTAGCAATCGTCAGTGGCAAATCCTTTAAATATAAAAAACTTACTTACAGTCTGTGAGTCAGAACAGCCGGCATTGTAAGAGCTTGTAACACTCCAAAGAGAAAGGAAAAATTGAAATCGCATCATATGACCCCTTTAAGACAGTAAGGGTGTTTGCTGCTGAGAAAATCCCGAAGATCCAGAAAACACACACACACACACAAACCAGAGATCAACTGAAGTCGAGTTCATTCATGCGTGAGGCAGCTTTGAACTTGACAAGTACACAGCAGGATAATTACAGATATTGATTAACTAGAATCCATATGTGTTCCTGCAAATCTTCAGCTTCTCTCTGATTCATCAGTGTTTCCTAGACGGCTCTGACAGGCCGCATTCTGTTTCAGTGATCACCATATCATGGGGTATTTTTAGGCTTCAAATCTCTAAACCGATGTCACGCTGAATAATATAAAATGCATAATAATGCAATATGGAAATGTAGATGAATTCATCCTCTCAGTATTCAGATTAGTGGTTGAATAAAATGATTTTTTTTTCAGTGACCCATTTTTTACATTTACTATATTGTATATTGTGTATTATATATATATATATATATATATATATATATATATATATAAAATGTTTTTGTTTATATATACAATGTTTTTGTTATTGTTGGGTTTAAGTTATTTCTTCTGGGTTTGTGCACAGTGTTTAGATTTTTGTCATGTTGAACAAAGTCACTTAAACAAATATCGATAAGCATTCAAAAACAACTAGTAGAAACATCACGAATACCCTTCAACCCCCTTTTGACTGCTGATAGCCTCCCCTACTGGCCAAAACCCATACTGAATCTATTATTATTTGTGTTAGATTCTCTTCTTCTTGTTTCCATGGCAGTTATATTCAGTATAATAAATTCTTAAGCATCCTACAGCATAAATGTGTAATTGATTAAGTTATTTTCTGAAATACTGGATAAAGAGAGAAGGTTGAGGCTGAAGACGGCAGGTAAAGGGTTAATGAGGAGCTCTGTGGGGATCAAGGTGTTTCTGCTGTTGTAAATCATGTTTAACAGTGACCTTTATGAAGAACATAATGCTATCTACAGACATATATTGAGTTTGGGTGTGTATTGAGAGTATATTGAGACAGGTGGTGGTATCTTCCACAAAATTAGAGTTGAGCTCTCTCTGCTTCTCCACCAGTCTAATTCACTTACATTGTAGTTAGCATGGGAAATTTCCCCAGCTGCAGACAAAAGAACAGGCCGAAGTGAGGTTATATCACTGTCACAATTGAGTTCAATGCAAAAACATTGTCAAAAGACCAAGTGCAATATTCAAGCTTTGGGAGTCATAACTATAAGATGTCTGTGTGTCATTGGATTTTGTCACTATGGTGATTTATTTACATGATGCAGTTATAGAGGGTTAATATAGTT